CCACGATTCGAAGTCCAAAATGGCGACGCCGCCAAACGACGGATTCGGGATCAGACGCTCGATATCCGCCTTGGCCTTACTCAAATGCTCTCGCATATCGACTCGCTGAAGGATTTACTTTTCATTTCATTTGCGTTTTTTATTTTCAGTGAAAACTTTTTAATTTGATTGATTTTTTTTGAATTGATTTTGATTTTTGAATTTGTACTGAATTTTCAATTTTGTTATTTTTCAGATTTTGGAATTTCTTGATTTTGGTTAAAATTTTTGAATTTTGAACTGACAATCAGAATTTTAGAGTTTTAAATTTTAAAAGTTGGAAATCTTAATTTTGATTCTCGGACTGGATTGCGAATTTTTGAGTTTTAAATTAAATTGTAATTCTCGACGATGAAATTTTGAAATTCGTTCTAAAAATAATAATAATAACAATAATAATAATAATAATAATAATAATAAAAATGATATATATAATAGTGTCGAGAGCGGTAATGACCTGTGGTATTCCGCCATTTACAGCCGAATTCGGGTCCTTGGGATCCCTGTAATAAGGATACAGCCCGATAGTCTTCTCATAGAAAGTATTCACCGCATCTCCGTAGAAATCTTCTCCTTTGTTGAATTGGAACGAAAATTTTGTCAACGGAATATCAATGCGGGCACGATAGCAGTTCCTACTTGGAACATTCCAAAAAACCTGAAATACACCGCAAATATTTTCACTTAATTTCAGGTTTGTTCACTGGCTGAATTTTTTGATTTCAGGTCTGCTGCTTGCTGGTTTAATTTTTTTTCAAATTTCAGGTTTAGTCTTTGCCTCTTTTCCGTAATTTTAAGTATATTTACCTATCCAGCAGCCCAGTTCAATTGGGTTTTTAAGAAAAAATCAACGAAAAAATCAACAAAATGCAGTTGTATCATATGTAGGCGATTCCTATACGATTCCTTGCTGTGAGAGTCATACATATGGTAGGAGGTACGGTAGGATTACGGTAGAAATACGTTACGGAGGG